TCTTCCTCTTCCTCTTCCTCTTCCTCTTCCTCTTCCTCTTCCTCTTCCTCTTCCTCTTTTTCCTTTCTCTTTCCTTTCTTCTTTCCCCTTTTCTAGTCTGAATAGTAGAATTGCAGAGTCAGCTAGCAGACACCAGCACATGAGGAGGGTCACTCCTGTAGCAGGGAGCACCTCGGAAGATTCCTGCCGTGAAATCTGGCACCATTTTCTCCCTGCACCTGTGGAGAGCTGTCCCCTTATGACGTTTCTTCCTTTTTTTTTTTTTYCCCTCAACAATGAGGACACTCTGATGAACACCAGGAAGCTCTGCAGTCCAGGATGTGATTCTCTGTGTGTTGTTGATAGTGCTTCGAGAACTGAGACTTCATTCTGGCCTGAAATGGAAATGAGAAGTGCTGATATGATCTCACTCACCTTGCCTCTTTCCGTCTGCTTGTTCACGAACACTGAAGAGCCTTTCGCTCTTGCACCCCTACCAATGCAAAGATTCCTCTCCCTCCTTTTCTCAGATCTGAGGTCCCTTTTAGTGTTGAGACCCATGTGGACAAACACGCCAACCTGGTTAAAAGCACGACTCTCCCCACAGGATCTGCTTGCAGTTTTTATAAAGCCTGTATCCTCCAGCGGGCACCTATATGTACCTCCCTTTCTGCTCCRTCGTGGAGCTTTGCCCTGACCATCTGCCCTGTGTCCCATTAATGTGATGAGAAGTGGGAACATGCCTGGTTTTGTGYAGTGAGCCCAGCATGGGCAGTGAGGTGTTTGTAGCCATGGTTGGGCTCCCATGGGGCCCGCACACTGGGGCCACCTCTGCCCCACGCTGAGACCCTCTTCTCCTCCCAAACCGCCAGCTTCCATGGAGCAGACTGGTGTCACTAAAGTGCATCAGGCTCGTTTAATCCACGGCCTGTTTAAAGTTACTGGAAGTGGATTTTTCCAAAAGCAGGGGGTCTCCTGCAACTCCTTGACTCTGAGCTGTCTTACAAAGTAATATGCATGCTTAGAGTATTGCATCAAGCTGCAGTTGGACAACKTGATCCTGAATTCCCAGCAATGTTTTCCTTCAACTTTGATGTTATAATCCTCTGTAGCAAAGGTCCCAAAGGGAGTATAAGCCCTGGAAGGAATACTAAATACCAAATGTGGTGGTGCTGTCACTGTCTCACCGTGTTGCAGCACTGTGTGGCTTCATTGCACATCCCTGAGCTTGGTCCTGAATCACAACCRCTAACATTTAGAGCTGGGGACAGGTGACAGATTTTGCAGAAGAGCCAGGGACGGAGCCTGCTGCTGCACCGATCTCTTCAGGTCCTGTACCCGGCATCCTGGGGCTCGTTGCTGCAGATGCTTTTGAGGGTGGTGGGGGAAGCTGGAAGGGACGTTCAGCACCACAGTGGTGAATCAGTGATGGATAYGTCACCAGGAACCATCAGAACAACTAAGTCTGACCTGCAGGGAAGCCAAGTGGTTGTTCACTTATGTCTGTGGTGGCTGTGGATAGGGTCTTGGCTAGTTGGAAGGGAGCCAAAATCTCTGGAGGGCGATTTTGGAAACCTCGTGCCTGCGGTGTGGGAACACTTATCTACGTGATGGCTTTCTTGCTCACACCAGCTTCAACCTGACGTGTTCCTGCCATCTACTAGATGACATATGGCTCCTAGGCCATCTGTCTTCAAGGCTGGACTTCATGATGCTGCTTGAAGTGAGGGGCGGATGTGGCCAGCTTGGAGCATGCTTAATTTTGGCTGTGCCCCCTTGCTTTGTTCCCTGGAGGCTCCGGGGTTTCCCACAGGTGCCACGCTGGTAGAATTGGCCTTGGCATCTTCCTCTAGTCACCTTGCAGACAGGTGTGTGAGACTTGGCTCCAGGGAGGGGCAGTGATTTTGCAGGGATTAACAAAATCCAGGGATTTTGTTGCACGGTGAAGTGGAGTGGCTGCCCTCAGACCTCATGTCTGCAGGGTTCCCTGCTGAGGAGAGATGCCCGCCTTTGCTAGGGTCTCATACAGAACTCATAAAGGCAATGTATAGACTATGGAATTGAAGCTCTCTGTCTTGGGAAAGGGAGTCTGTTGTTAACTTGTGTTGAAGATACCACCTGCCCAAGGCATTTGTTGAGGCAAAGGCATGTGGGCTGTGACAGAAGAAGCCGTGAGGAGCCTCCCTTCATCTTCCCCACTGTCCAGTCTCTGAGGTTGGCTGGTTCTGGTGGTTGGGCAGCCCCACGGGGTCAACAGCAGAAGGGAAAGAGACATTCTCTATGATTTCTAATGGGAGTTGGAGGCTCTTCACTGACTTGGAGTTGTGCTGGGGCCAGCATAACRCCCCTCCATCAGCCTGGATGCAGCCTTGGGCCTTGGTGAGAGCTCTGCACCCAAGGGCTGCCGGTGGAGAGAAGATCCTAGGCTTATGTAGATGATCTGCTTTTTCTTTCTCTGTTCCTCAAAGGTTGCTTCTTTTCTTTTAACTAATCGTTATCTCCTGCAGAACCACTGGAATGAAGTGACCAAATTAGGTCAGAGGTGCTGCTGCAGAGCTCTTTTGAAGAACCTGTCCCTCCTAATTTCTTAAARGATCTGGATTCTTGATCAGGATTCCCAAGAAATGCAATTTCCTCTAAAAGCAGCAGGGTGG